CACACACACACACACACACACACACACACAAATACTGTTGTGTTTTCAGTGAAGGGGATGTGGAGACCACGGGTAAAGCTCCGTCCTGCATATTATTTAATTTCTCCTCATCTTTTTGTTGTTGGTGATATTTTTATTGCTCGTTTTTTGTTGTTGTTGATTTATATGTCTTTTTTGTGTGTTTTGGGTTGTTTTGTTTGGGGGTGGGGTGGGTTTTTTGTTTTGTTTTTGCTTAACTAGAGTAATTATTCCTTAACGAGTTTTCTAAAATAATAAAGATTGTTATACAGCACTTTCTCTCTTTTTTGGGGGGTGGGGGAGAGGGGGTCAGTCTGTATCATTTTGAAATCATCTTATTTAACTTATATAACCTGCTTGTCATCGTTAAATAAAACCATCTTTGAATAATCATGTTCGTCTGTGCACAGCCCCAGGGCCAAAAAGGAAAACTAAGAAGAGGCAAGCTGACTATTGTGACGTCAGTGAAGACTCTGACGCGGTTGACGTCATCGGTGATTGACCCGGGGACGGAGCTGTTACGTCATAGGAGATGGTTGTTTATTTACAGAGGTATGTACAACTTTACAGGTAGTTCTTATATTCAAGTTTGGCGCCTTCAAGTTTATATATGGTCGCTTTTAAGGACAAGTGGGCTATCCCGAAAAATGCTGTTTTTGAGAAAATCGAAGGTAAAGTTTTTGCCCCTTGTTCAGCTACATTAAAAGACAAGGCAAATTTTCTCTAAAACCAAGAAAATATACACACCAACAAAACTGAACTTCTCCTATCCTATTGGTAGGGCAATGCCCATTTTTTGTGAAGGTCAAGTAACCGTCAAGATTTCTGGAACCTCTATGTGGGTTAGCCTGCTTGTCTAAAAAGCGACCATAATGTAATACGTGTGTGTGTGTGTGTGTGTGTGTGTGTGTGTTAGATAGCACTAAGTTCGCGACGTTTCCTAAATTGTTGGGTGGTTTTCGGCGTTTTGTCCTTTCGTTGCTAAAGATTAATTAAATTAATCATCCTCTGATTTTGTTGGTCGTTGTTTGTTTTGGTTTCGCGTGCGGGGGGGGGGGGTTGTTTGTTTGTGTGTAGGCTTCTTTAATACTCTCTGGTGTGCTCTGGTGTGGTTTGCTTCTTCTTTCCTATCAAATATCCATCGTCCTGATCTCTCCTCCTTCTTTTTTGCGTTTGTTTCTCTCTTGTAACAACTCTGATCTTCAATACTTGTTTGACCTTATGGTGCTGCAAGTGCCGTAAAACCCTTACTGAAACTAAACTAAACACTTTTTGTTTTAAACTATGTACATCAATCATTTATTGTAGGTTCACTTGAGTGGTTGGCGGGTGCTCTGGTGGGGTTTGCTCCTTCTGTCCTATCAAACATCTATCGCCCTGATTTCTCCTCCTTCTTTTTTGTGTTTGTTACTCTCTTGTAACAACTCTTACTCTAATCTTCGGCATTTATGACCTTTATTTTATTGCAAGTGACGTAAAACTCTTACTAAAACTAAACTAAACACTTTTTGATTTAAAATATGTACATCAATCATTTATTTTAGGTTCACCCTTTTCCCCATTATCCAGAACGAGAAAGCTGATGACTTGTAGGTGTGTGTGGAGTCAGATTTCCGCACTGTGATGAAGGAGGAGACACGTAGCGCCAAGCTGGGACGTATGGAGGACTTGGAGGACATGAGGATGGAGCAGGAGGAACTCCGACGGAAAGCTTCGATGAAGAAACAGATGAACAGAAAGAAATGATGATTCTAAATCTTGTTGCAATGGGCACAAGACACGACGAGTTTGGAATTAAAGGACGTCATAAATAAAAGTGCAATACATGTATAATCTTTTAGGGAGACCAACTTCGACTGAAATGTGAGTCCAATTTACTAATTGGGCTCTTTTGCTCATGTGTCAGGGATTGTAGACAGTCGTCAGAACTGTGCAGACTTAGACTGAATAAAGAACTTTATGAAAAAGATCGGGACTGTTTTTAGCTCTTCCAGTACATGTAGCCTACCAGATTCTTGTGTTAAGTTTGAGGAAGTTTGAGGAAAGTGGAAATCAAAGACATAATACGGGGATTAAAAGTTTTATAGAAAGATGTGCTTACGAAACAAACAACAAGGAAATCAATCAAAGACGTTTTGTAATAAACGGCCGCCTGACTCATGAAACCATCGTGGAAACATTTATGGATTAAGGAGACAGTTTTATTTAAATTCAAAGTACCATCGACATTTCAGCCAAACCGAATGCAATAAACAATCTGTCCCCGCGGAAATTCTGAAATTATGCAAACTGCTGAGCCCCAAAATGTGAAATTATGCGATTCTGTTAATTTTAACAATGAATGATAATGGAAAATAATCAGAAATTATGCAAAAAAAAGATCAAATTTTGCAAAATTATGCGGGGTGCATAAAACGACGGGGACAGGACAATAGAAAGAAGGCAACGAGACCGTACAATTGAATGTTGTAGTTTTTATCAAGCGGCTTGGTACCAACAAAACCGGGCTTGTCTTTTCTGGTTTTGTTTTTTCCTGGTTGCCTTCGACTTCCTTAGACTTGCACCTAGCAGCAGCAGCAGCAACATTCTACTTGAGTTTGATTCTAATGACTGAGTTGTGATGTACACAGAATCTATTTAATCTTAATGTTATTATTGTTATGCTTCCATCGTGCACGGTCCTGGACGATTTTGCTGATGAATAAAAAGCATTGGCATGTGCGTTTGATTATTTTTAATGGTTTGTATCTTGGCTTTATTAAGAATCCGTTTGTGTTTGTTTTATCAGAATCTAGAGGAAGAGGTTCGTGGGTGCTCGGGTCCGGTATGGTCTTCTTCTTCCTCCTCCCCCCCCCCTCTTCTTCTTCTTTTTCTTCTCTCTTCTTCTTCCTCCCCCCCCCCCTCCTCCTCCTAATGCCCTGACCAGTTGCTGGCGAATGTAGTCATGATGGTGCCTACTCGTCGTAGACTACACTACACCTCAACACAAGAGACCAAATCCTTTATATTATATTATGGTTTTACTACATGTACCTAGTCAATACGGCAACTCAATTGGGTTATTCTCTACTTCTAAGTTTTGTGATGAAGCGTACAGGATAGGAATTGGTCGCTTTTAATTTAAGGACAAGCGGACTAACCCAGATTTCGGGGGTTTCCAGAAATCTTGACCTACACCAAAAGAGGGCATTGCCCTACCTATAGGAGTTTAGTGTCATTGGTGTGTATAATGTTATATTTGTTGAAGGATTCTGCACAACCGTTCTCCTCCCTAGTTTCTCTTTGTAACACATGAGGGTGCGGTGGCAGAGCGGTTAGTGCGCACAATTATGTTCATATTCAGCAATTATGAGGTACCACAGTTGGTTTTTTAAATGTTTTTTTTCTCTAAATCTATAAAAATAAAAGGTATCTAAATCATGTAAAAAGTCTCTGTAAAATTAAAAAGTATCTCTCTATTCATGTATAAATAATTTTGTGTAACCATAAATTCTTTAGCTGACAATAACGTGAATAAGCTTTACTTCTGATCAAACGAAAAAAAAGGAGAGATCAAGGACTACAGATAAGATAAATGCTTGAAAGGAAAGAAGGAGTTAACCATGCCAGAGCACTCACCAACCACCCACGAATGGAGGGTTAAAGTTAAAGAAGACTTTAAACTTTAACCGAGTGTGTTATACATAGATATCTAAATATAACAGTTATCATTCATGAGTAATCATGGCTGTTCCACTCAGAATCACCGAGTAGCTGGCTGACCTGACACTGAAAGGTACCTCTGTGATGAGGTCAAGCCTCGGTCACCTTAAGACCGTGTGTCCACCAAAGCAAAAATGGCCCGATTTAAAAATCATTATTTTTTCAGCCGATATGAAACGCAAGGCAGGGATATCAACCAATCAGTGATTTTTTTAAAAACATCTCAAAAAAAGAAGAAAAAAAAAATAATGATAAAAAGGAGAATTGTTTTAAAAGATATAGAGATCTACATTTAAATTGGTGGTTTGTGCGTAGACATGGTTCATTTTGAGGCGTTGATTACAAAATACATGTACCGGTACAGTATAAAATGGATGTCAAACACAGAAGACTCAAAATCACTCATCTGAACTATGGATCCCTCGAACTACCGAGGCCGGTCCCGACGAATTCGAGCTATCCTTGTTATATGCATGTACTGTATATATCTATTTTTCATCTGAACTGAAAACTCGATTATTTTTTTTAGCTTTGAGTCACTGCACGACCCAACTAAGCTAAAATGCCGCCTTGACATTCCAAACTTTTGGCAAAAGGTGTCCATTTCCGCAGAGGCAGGTGACTTTAGGTCGGTTGGTTTCTGTGTTGGTGGACACATAACATCAGTTTTTACTTCAGTACAGCCGGGAAACTCAATGAAACAACAATCAAATGAAAATCACACAGAGTCACAGAGACAAACATGTATTTTACGACAGGATGTTTTTTATTGCGGAGAAATAAAAAAAAGATAGCATAATTCAATTGTGGTTTCCATCATTTATTTGGCACAAACACAATACATGTATTAACGTTTTTTTCAATAAAAAAATAATAAACACGCCGACAGATTTTCACAATCTTCATTGTCAGCTTACTACACTCTGAACTTCTCACACACTTACATTTTAATTTTGAGTTTGCACCAATAAGTCCTGTTGCTGGTGTTGATTAACGCCTGTATTCAGTGTGTTTCCATCACAGCCTTCAGTTACTTTAGTCGGTTTCTCATACAACTGCTTTTCTTTCGACTTTAGCTATGGTGGCATGAAACATCTCACCACCTTGCTCACCAAGCATGCTAAGGCCAAAGCCTCAGGTTTTAATTTTAACGAATGGCAGGCAATGGCGCTCCAGCATGTGAATTTTAGGCGTCAATGTGTGTGGAAATGCAAGCAACTTTCCAAACGGTTCAAGATATGAAATAATGTCAGTGCTAATGCAAGAGTGTTCTGATGGGTTGACAATGTTTGTGTGAGAGATGGCATGGTCAATTGTTTCAGTGCACTGAACCTCTCTCATAATTGTCCTAAAGCTGTGTCTACTAAGTGCTGGTTAGGTGTTAGAGTTAGCTGTGCTGTAAATTCTGTAATCTGGAGAATGTATTTGGTGAAAACAGTGCATACAGTTTCATTCATGTAGCCTATTTGGTCGCTTTTAAGGACAAGAGGGCTAACCGAGATTTCGAGGGTTTCCAGAAATCGTGACCTACACCAAAAGTGGGCATTGCCCTACCTTTTGGAGAAGTTTGGTTTAATTGGTGTGTATATATTTGTTTGGTTATAGAGAAAACTCTCCTTGTCTTTTAAAGAAACTGAACAAGGGGTAAACACTTTACCTTCGATTTTTTTTTAAACAGCATTTTTCGGAATAGCCCCCTTGTGCTTAAACGCGACCATTTGTGCTTTGCTGTTAATTGGAGAATGTATTTAAGGCAGTGGTTGCCAACAAAGGATCTGCTACTGTAGGCCTCTGGGACTATTTCATTTGTTTTTTATGATAACGTAGTAAATGCTTTTACACCTCCTTTAGCAAAATGTTGATCATTTAGGAGGCAGGCTTTCGACTTCGTGTGACCCGGGTTGAGAGGGATACAACATCCCAGCAGAGACACCGAGTTGCTCGATAAATATCCTCCCCACTCGGGAACCGAACATGGGTCTCCTGTTTCTGACAGACAGTGAAGCACCTAACCACTGCACCAGATGCCGGTGGCTATATAAAGATTTCACTCATAAAATGGCTCGACGTTTCGCCTCAAAGGCTTCCTCAGGTGCAACAAAGAGAAACTAGGGAGGAGCACGTTGTGCAGAATCCTTCACATCACAGCCAGGGGTTTGGAGCACAAGGGGGTTGAAGACTTCAGTAGACCTACAGAGCCCGTCCAAGTGTTTGGAACACAGGTTCACAAAAAGGGTCTTGAGGTCTAAAGCATGTCCTCGCCAAAACGATTGGACATGAAACCAAAGAACATTGGAATTCTGTCGCATGTCAGACTGTGTGAAAGAGTACTGTACTGTACACTTTGTCTGTGAGGGCTGATAGTTCGGAGCAGAGGGCGTCTTGGTAGTCTACCTCACAGTTTTCTGATCTGCAGCACAAGGGAGGTTGTTGCCATAATCCTGTGGTGAATGTACGAAAAATGACAACATCTAAAAAATTGATCAAAGCAAAGAGATGCATAACTGATAAATAACAGTACCTGGCCAAAGCTAGTCAAATTTACCAAATGTCAACCAATTAGATCTATGAATAAAGGTATAAATAATACTGAACAAATAGCATTTGTATAGTGCATATTCCTGTTCAACAGCCAGCTCTATGCACTTTACAATTTATATTACCCCAGCAGAGGATAGAACACTCAAAAACATTCTCAGCTTCCCGGGTAGCACACAGTGCAAGCAGTCGATTAAGCCCTTCAACGTGAACAAACTGACAAGATATATTGCCATCTTTATTCGAGTACCAATTCCCATCTGGATAAAGTGAGAAGAATTTGTATAAAGTGCCTCTTCTCAAGAACACGATGTCTGGCCCCTGACAGGGTTGAACATACAACCTTTCGGCTGCAACCCCAACAGCCTTACAACTATACCACCAATGCTACTATAGAATGATTAATATATTCCTCATCCAGTTTCTTGGAATCTCCGACAATAAGACTGTAAAAGATATCCATTTAGAGTGAACTTGTGGGGGTGGGGGGGGGGGGGGTGTTCAAAACACAGCGATATTGGGGGGTGGGGGGGATGTTCAAAACAAAGCAAGATAAGGTCAAGGCTTTCACACATGCTATCATCTTTTCTTCCACAATAACTATCAAAAGGGTGAAAATAATCTTAATTAGGTTTATGAAAGTTTTCAAGGAGAATAACTTACTATCAAGAAAGCCAATAAAAGTCTGAAACCAAAACAAGCTAATTATACCTCTAAAGAAGGACAAAAAAAATCAGCAACATGCTAAACATTTGGTTGATGTAAGTGAATATTAATAATAAACGGCAGGTACAGATTAGTAAAAATACCCCAAAAAATTACTGTTGCAATAAAACGCAAGAGAGACTTACTTCACCTGGTAAGATTGGGCAAAACATTCAGCGGCTCAGGCGTTTGAGGGCAGCTACCAGCGCCCTCTTCAGGCTCGACTTGTTCTCTCCCACAACCACAGACAAGCTGGCCACTTGCTCTCCCGTCAGCTGAAAGAAAAATTTGAGTGACCGTTACAGTCCAATGCTGATTATCTAAACCCACCCAAGGCCAGAAATCTACACACTAACTGATGGTTGGCAGGTGCTCTGCTGATGTGGTTTTTTTACTTCTTCTTTCCTATCAAACATCTATCATTCTCATCTCTTCTTCGCATGTTACTCTCAAGTAACACGTCTAATTTATAGAACTTATTATATTTTTTCAGGCTTGCCAAGCTTTTCAGAATCCAGTCTGTGACACTCAACGTTGTAACATCATCAGATTATGTGACAACAAACAAAAGTTACATTAAGTGGGACTGGTTTTGGTGATGTGATTGTGATAAGGCTCTCAAATTCCTGAATGCTGAATCTACGACAGTCCCAGAAAATTCAGAACAGATAGCAGGCAATCCTTTATTTATTTATTAAGTTGAGCTTTTACAGCGCTCGCAACTGCATAAGGTCATAAGAGCGGCAAGGGGTGGATGTCAACAGAAAAGTCTTTACAGGGAATCAGGCTTACTCTGCTCACCTCTCTAGCTTTAACAGTACAAAGTCTATTTTGACTTTCAAGGCACCCCGGAAATAGTGGGTCACACGAGTGTGACAAAAAAGTAGAGGAAAATGACGATAGTAACTATTAGGGCAGAAAAAGCAGCAGTTCCCTGTTGCAGTTCAGGCACAGTTATGAGCATGACATTGTTAAATCAGCCCATTTACAATCAGGGTTGGTGATTTTTTTTTGCTTTTTTAAAATTTAAATCGGATTTTTTAATATATTTTTTTAATGTAGACACAGTTTGGGATTTTTAGTTGCTAAAAGTATGTTCTTTTAGTGCAAAATGCATTGTCTTTATTTTAACTAATGATTAATTTAAGCAACCGCAAAAGAAAGCCTTAATCTGCTATATAATAGTATATATATATATATATATATATATATATATATATATATATATATATATATATATATATATATATATATATATATATCAGTGAATTATGGCTACAGACAAAAAATGAAGAAAATGTCAGTCTAAAATGAAGGGGGGGGGAGGGGGGGGTAATTATGCATAGATAAACTTGCATTTTATTACAGTGTGTGTGTGCGCACGCTTGTGTTTGTCTAAAAAGAAAAAGAAAATGTTAATTTCAATAATGAAAAAAAAAAGTAAATTGAATGCTGTATTATTTTACAGTGACAGGGGGGAAAGCAGACTTTTAAGCATGATTAATTTTATTAGTCTACTAAACCTTATATACTGTTTTATAAAACCAAGGAAAGGAATTCTGAATATTTAAAGATGTAAAAACAGAATACATTTTTAAAAAGTGATTTAAATCACAGAGTTTTATTTTTAAAATCAAGTTGATTTAAATTTTAAAAATCAACTGATTTAAATCAACCCAGCTCTGATTTCAATTATGGAAAAAAAAGTAAATTGAATCCTGTATTATTTTACAGTGAAAGGGGGGAAAGCAGACCTTTAAGCATGATTATATTAGTATACTTAACCTTATATCTGTTTTATGAAACCAAGGAAGGGAATTCTGAATGTTGAAATATGTAAAAACTGAATAAAAATAAATTTTTTAAAAGTGATTTAAATCACTGATTTTTATTTAAAAAATCAAGTTGATTTAAATCAAAAAAATCAACTGATTTAAATCAATCCAACCCTGTCTACAATTCCATTGAGCATAAAAACAAGAAATGTCCCCCCTTTAGGAATGGCCTAAAGACACTTCAGTGAGTGGCACTGCCCGAGGGGTGGGGGTAAATAAAAGAGAAATCTGACTAGGTTCCTAATTTGAAAAATGTGTTGAACTGGTGAAACATTAAAAGCCACCAGCAAGCATTCCTTTTCAACCACAAAAAAAATTTACATCACTTTAAAAAGAAAGTCTGATTATTTTTTTCTCTCAAGAAATTCAAATGGCTTTTCCTTTGTTCGTCACAAAAAATAAAAAAACTAAGAGAGTGTTTTTTTAACAGAGCGGCATCGGTAGTCTGGTGGTTACGCTACTGTTTCATAAGTGTGAGATGTGGATTCTAAAGTTCAAAGCTCAGCTCCGTCTGATGTTGAGTTCTTGGGACAAGCACTCTATATAGGTTTTTCCATTTCGCTCAGTCCTATCAGAGATGAACATTAAGTTCAGAGGTCCCATCTCTTACATAACCTTACCGAGTTGCATGGGGCATTAAATCTATATAAACTATATAAACTGGCACTTTTTTTTTTCAAACATATTATCTGTCCATTTAGAAACACACATACCAAATTCCCCATGCAGAAATGGAAAGCAGAGAGAAACCGCAGCACTCACCTTTTTGCCATATTTATTTGTGAAGGACAAGAGCAGCTTTCCAAACTTTTGATTTGTGGCGCACTCTGCACCAGACTCTCTGAGAAGGTCAAGAATGTTCTGCAAAGTGTCGGGCATAAGCTCTGGTCTCTGATCCACCACGGCTTGCAGCACACTCACAACATTCTCCGTCACTTTCACGTCTTTAGACGACACTTGTCTGATATTCAAGATGAAAGAGAAAGAAAGTAAATGAGTAAAAGAATATTCATATAATAAATAAAAAATGTCTTGCTTAAAATCCCTAGGGAATAAAAAAAAAAAGCTATAATTCTGCTGTAAGATGCAAAAGGTTACAATAATAAAGGTTCTTTGCAAAGTCATAAGAATCGACATTAATACATTAAAAAAATAAATAAATAACTAAAACAATAAGTCTCTAGGTCAATAGGATGTCAATAGCATACATGTTAATGAGCTAAAAGTTATTTATAATGACAGAAATCCTTTGGTTGTGTCATTCATATCTAGTGTTTACAGGCCAAAGGGCTAGAACTCAGACGGCCGCTGGATCGAAAAAGTGAAGTACATCCAGTGTGAAGATGAAAGGTGTTTTTTTCATTTTCTCTAACAAAATGAACAGTGCATGGGGCCAATAATTTTCCTTCAAGGTCAGAAAATGTCTTCTTTGTTGGTTTTTTAGGTAAATGTTTTATGGCGCTCGTTACTGCAAAAGGTCATATGAGGACACACCAAACATTTTTCAGTTGGTAGGAAATTTTGAATTTTGCTCGGGTGGTGGCTGAAGCCTACTCTAATTAATTTTGGACCACCATTGGATCTTTAATGTGCTCAACTTGCACATGGGACCTCCAAGACTTTTTGCCCTTGTCCAAGAAGGCCAGGTGTAGATCTAACCTACAATAAGATCAGGGATGTGGTTGAAAGACAGTAGTAAGAAAGAGCCAAGGAGTAGCAGTAGAAAGGCTGCAGAAAGAGTCAGGAGCCCAGAGGAGGAGGCAAAGGAGGTGAGGAGGTGGGGGCAGAAAGTGGAGACGAAAGCAGACGAAATAACATTGTTAGAGAGCAGGAAAGGATGTGGAAGGAGAAAATTTTAGAGAAGAAAATGTTCTGCTGCTATCAGAATTCGAACCCGGGACCTATTGAAAGAGAGGCGAACACCTCTGGGCCACTGAGAAGAGAATGTTTCTGAAGGAGGCAGGCTACTTTTTTAATCTACTTACTTTATTACTGAGAAAAATGCTTTTGGAGTGCCACTGTTATATATATCTTAATTTTAGGTTGTGCTAGGAAGAAGAATCCAAATGTAAATTCTCTAAAACTCTTCATGTTGCAATGGAAACGATGGCCATATTGAACTTTTTTGCTTTTTCTTAGTACATGTAGAATTTTCGTAATCCTTTTTTTATTTTGCATGATAAGAGCAATTTTTCTTTTCAGTCCCCTTGTCGACATATTGCCACAGGTCACTGACAGTAGGATTTTTCAAAGTGGTAGTGCAACTCAAAACTCAGATGATAAAAAAATGGGCGGGGTGGGTAAGTTAGACCCATAATAAAAATGCAATAATAGCATGTACCCCAAACCTAATTCTTCAGTGACCTGTGTAACATATTGAAGTACAAACATGCCAGGTTTAAAGAGAATATATTAATAAATTAAAAAATGATTAAGAAACTAGTGACTTGAAAATGCTGAAAACAAGTTTCAAGAAAAACACTTTTAAAAGTCGGAACGCGTGGAAGGTATACATACATGGCCAGATTTTGATAATTTGGCTTATTTAATTTAATCAAACCAACGATGGGAATCGAAAGTAGAGTGTTTTTGCTAACAGAATATGCAAAGAAAAAAATCCATATCAGGGCCCAAAACCGTTTAAAATTACCCACCTGCATCCTAAAGCAAAACGGAAAAAAAAAGGATTAAGATGATTTGTGGCTTCTGCTAGAGCCATTCTGGCAAAAAAGAGTTTGCTATACAGTGGAACTCCGATTAAAAAAGAACCCGGATTCAAAAATAGAAGACGGATTCGACTTTATCCATTAAAATCAATAACAATATCTCAGATACAGCGAACATATGAATGAGTAAGCTCCGATTCAACAAAGTCGCTGGCACGTGAACGTTCCTCGCTGATGTGGCTTGGCTCATATTCCTCCCACAATGGACCTTCTCTATTCTTGAAAACCATCCCTGGCACTGCCTACTTTTTTGTTACTATAGACACAATATAATAATATCCATGTTCAAAGGAAGCTCTTAAAGAACTGACGAAAGAGATTTACTTTTAGTAAGTGTTTTACGGCGCTTGCAACACAGTAGGTCGTATAAGTACCGAAGATTATAGATCTTACATAGAGTAACAAACACAAAACAGAAGAAGGGAAGATAAAGAGGATAGACATTTGATAGGAAAGGAGCACACCACACCAGAGCACTCACCAACCAACCACTGACAACAGAGACAATACCTGAGAAGAAATCCAGCCAGGTCAGAGGTCAAGCAATGTTGGCACAGGGAGATCAACAGCTGGCACTGAGGGAGACCTGAGGAAATGACAAACAATACAAGATTTTTTTGTTTTAGTAAGAGTTTTACGGCACTTGCAACACAATTAGGTCATATAAGTGCCGAAGATTAGTACAGGTGTTACAAGAGAGTAACAAACACAAAAGAGGAGAAATAAGGATGCGGATAATAGAAAACATGACAAAAGATCAGCGAAAAAAGAATGAAAGCAAAAATACCAAAAAGTGTAACTCTTCAAGAGTGAGAAAAAAGTCGAAATCAGAAGCCGAACTGACCAGAAAGAAGTACTGTATACATATATATATATATATATCTCTATCTCTCTTTCTCTCTCCCTCGCATGCATGCATGTGAATGTGCACGCACCCACACATACAATCACGCACGCTCTTTCTAGACCATAAAAATTGGCACACAATACTTTTACATTATATGTCGTGCACGCTGACTTCTGATTTTCGAAGCGAACCCACAGATCGACCTCATAAATAATATTAGAATAAAATAAGTAGATCTAGATATCTATGCACCTTTCTGCAAACAATCAAGCATGGGGTCTTTTTCAGTTAGTAGAGCTGTCCCCGTCCTTTTAGGCAACAAAAATTCTGAAATTACGCAAACTGAGCCCAAAAATGTGGAATTATGCGATTCTGTTAATTTTAACAAAGAAGGATAAAGGAAAATAATAAGAAATTATGCAAAAAATTATCAAAAAGATCCGCAGTTCGAGGGATATCTTACAAAGATAAAGAAAAAGAAAAAACGGGACCACAGGCACAGTTCAACGGATGCGTGATTTTGAGTCTTCTGTGTTTGACCTATCCATGTTATAGTGAACATTTGATTTTAAAATTCAGTTGAAGAGATGAAAAATGATCAAATTTTGCTAAGTTATGTGGGGTGCATAAAACCACGGGGACAGGTAGAGATTGGGACTCCAGTGTGGGGCTCCACAGAGAAGAAATACGTGCTGATTCATTTGCCGTCCCAAGGCATAGCAAAGCATCTGACAAAATCAATTTGTTTTTAAAAATTGGTTTGTTACTCTAGTCTTGCCCGTATCTTTCTTAGGTCAAAAGTAGGGCAACGTATCTACATCCAAAACAGTAGTTTTCAAAGTGATAAAGCTACAAAGGTGACTGATCTAAATCTCACTGTCTATGGCAAAGTGACGTATGATCTACATTTCCATAAAACCCTGTTTAGAAGCATTCATAACTTAATAAGCAGGCTTAGTGTAAAAAGTATCTCAAAATCATGAAATGTGCATTTACGTCGCTCTGCCTTTGAATGGCAAAATACAATAAAAAATGAATACACACAAACAATACCAGCCAAAACTGACCTGAATTCGCTTCACAAATGACATCAGTGAGTACTTCAAGCAGAACTTTGGGATGATATTTTGCTATTGACTTTGCAACATCAACGAGGGCGTGGGAGGGCTGGGAGGAAAGATGCCTCACCTTCATACAGAAAAGTAACAACGAAATAAAGTCAGCAGAATATAATGAAAAATAGCACAACGGGCCAAATGACTTACTAAATACAAGTGAAAATGGTGGAGGAGCATGAAAGAAAGTTAAGCCTACTTTATTCCTCGCTTTTAGATACTTTCTTACTATGGTACCATCAAGCACAAAGGATGATACAAAATCATGTGTGTGATGAAAGTAAAAAAACTCACCCCAATTTCAACCCCCACCTCCGAAAAAAAAAACACTACAACAAAATAAACACATAAATGAGCCATTTTAGATAATCTAGAAAGAAGGCTGCCTCATTACAAACTGTAAAGGCCAACCCAGACAGTGTGGGCCACATTCCAGCAGAAAGACGAAGATATTTGCCTTTAGTTTTAGTTTTAGTAAGAGTTTTATGGCACTTGCAACATAATAAGATCATATAAGTGCCGAAGATTAGAGGTGTTACAAGAGAGTAAGAAACACAAAAAAGAAGGAGGAGAAAAAGAGACGATAAATTTTTTATAAGAAAGAAGGAGCAAACCACACCAGAGCACCCGCCAACCACCCACATATATGCCTTTAAATATAGCATCCATTTATATATACAGAGAGAATCGAACCCATGTCTTTTGAATGAAAGGCAAAGAGCCTAAGCACTACACACCATAGACACCTTCATGTTTTTCATTCTGAGACAAGGAACTGAAACAAACACCATCGCTGATGCAGCTCCAAGTTCTTGAGCTAGGGTAAAAATTGGAGAGGGGGGAGGGGGAAAGAACACACTGAAGCAGACAACCCTGAGCGAGCCATTGCACAGAAAAAAAAATGAGAGACTGGAGAAGGGAGGGAGAAAGAGAAGGACTTTCAAAAGAAGACAAATGGAGAGAGAGAAGGGGAGGGGGAAGAAGGGAGAAACATCCAGAGGGTTCACAACACGTACACTGAGTACAAACCAATGTGAACTCACCTTGTGTATAAGAAAACCTTCTAGGAGATTCAGTAAGGTGTCATATCCCAGACTCGTCCACGGTATGTTATCACACAGAGTTACAACAGTCTCCTCATTCAAGTCTTTCAGGCCCAGAAAATCACACGCAGCCCGCACCTGTCAACAAAAGAAGACGAACAAAATCCAATTACTGGTATCTTTAACCAACTATAAACTCCAGAAAACAAAAACAGCAAAAAACACCCAAAGAATAAAATAGAATCAAATCATTAGCAGGGATGTCACTCAACTTTTTTTTCTATAGCTGAAAATCCACGCGCCACGGTCTCGCAAACATATAAATATCAATTTAAAACCCAAAGAGTGTACATAGAAAGAAATGACTAACAAACATAAGCAATGGGTGTACATAGAAAGAAATGACAAACAAACAAAAACAATGGGTGTACATAGAGAGAAATGACAAACAAAAACAATGGGTGTATATAGAGAGAAATGACAAACAAAAACAATGGGTATACATAGAGAGAAATGACAAACAAACAAAAACAATGGGTGTACATAGAAAGAAATGACAAACAAAAACAATGGGTATACATAGAGAGAAATGACAAACAAACAAAAACAATGGGTATACATAGAAAGTGTGTGTGTGGGTTTGTTTTTTTTCCAACTATAGATTCTATCTCGATCTCAATAACGGAATAACGGATCAGGATCAAAATACTGTAAAAAGCGGAAAAGTGGCACATCCCTGCATTAGCTTCATAGCTTTGCTGTCAACATGGAAGACAAACTAAAATCTATTCAGATTCAGCTGCACCTAAGACACACTTCATAGTACAAGTCATACCGACGAGTTGTTTTTGAAGGTCTTTACAGTACAGTAGAAGCTGTTACTTTTACAGCACATTGAGGCATTGCAAAAGGGTTGTCTTTCACTCACCTGTCAAATATGAATCTACTCTGCCAAAGAACAGGTAAGTTTGAACGACAGGTTGAAGGTATATAAAATTAAATCCTTTGATTCCCTATCCGCACATTCAAGCAGCAAACACCATGAAGAAAGGTCAGTTTGCTGACCCACCAAAGATGATAATGACAGAAAAAGTTATGACTCCTGCACTCATTATAAAAGGTATTAAAAAAATGACAAAAGTGTGGAACACCAAAGAGAGTTGCATTTTCCCCCACCCATCCACCGTCTCCTCCCCCATATCCAACATAGAACAAGAGCCCTCTATCACAAGAGTCCTGTCAGGAGAAGGAATAGAATACAACATCTCTGCAGCAAGACCGAAATACTCAATACATTCTCCCCCATTCGAATCGAACTCAGGATGTCTGTGTGCGATGACGAAGCGTGTAACAGCCACACCACAGACGGTAGTTAGCTTCTGTAGTACTACAACCGACCTGGACTGAGGTCAAACTCTGCAAATGCGTCCAAACATCGGAAAGCACGGCTGTGTCTTGAACATCTTTTGACGAGAGAGCATCTCGAAATGGCTCAAGGAAATTCTGTATTATAAAAAAAGTAGATGATTATATGATTATGCTATTATTATTAATTATTCTTATTATTATCATTATTCTTCTTCTTATTATTATTATATCATTATCAAATATAACAAACATATACATAATAATAGTAACACTGAGATAATCCCTAAGAGGTAGACAAAATCAGATCGCCCACCAACCACCACCATCTTAAGAAAAACATGAGAATCACATAGGCAGGAGACCATTTATAAAAGATAAAAGAGCAAGAACAAAACTGATCTTTGTATGACCAAAACTGATTTGTGAGGCAGCGTGGTGAAATCAGGCGCTCGTCAAAATAATGAAAGTCAAGAAACTGGCATTTTTCCACAGGTTTGGCAATTTTATCGAATTTTTGTTATGTGATTCAACGCCTTTCATGCCCTTCAAAGAACACATTTCTGTGTGGGTTGTATAGGCCGAAGGGCTAGAACCCAAATGGCCGCTGGATCGGAAAAGTAAAATGTGGATTGTACTGAAAGACGTTAAAATAAGGCATAAAAAATGTAAATTTTCAGTTTCCACAGACTCTCAAGCTAAGGAAATAACTCACCGTTGACAGCCATTTTCTTGCTAATTTTACCTCTGAAAACAGGCGACCCCCACCTCCTTCAGGCACCAATATCTCGACTTGCATTCAAGATAGAGGGATATTGTTTTCTTCTAAAGCAAGGAAAATGGACGGGCTTTAAGATGATACCAATAACTCTATATGCCCCAAAATTGACAAGCGCCTGATTCCACCACGTCGTGACACATTTGTTGCAGTCTTCTGGATAAAGTAATAGGGAGGGTTTTAACTTGACGAGTGCAACAACAGTAAAACTCTGTGTAACAAAAACATTTGTGCTTAATGGTCAGCCTCTAGGACTCACAACTGTAAGGTTATGGGTTCGAATCCCATCAGCAGTCCGACATTGTGTACTTGGGAAAGCTTTTTACACGAATTTTCCTCACTTCCCCCAGGTAAGAATGGTTACAGTAGTCTCCGCCTAAACGCACGGTGCTCGGGAGGGCTCCTAAGCGTGTGTTTATACGGAGCATGCGTTTACATGAACCTTGCAAAGGGAGGAAGGGACGCAGTCATCTCATTGCCTTGATATGCTAATTACCTCCCTTTGGGATGGGGGTCACTTTGGGTCGATAATGTGATGGTTTTGTGAAGGATTCCCCGATTGCGGTTAAGAATACAACGGTGTTGAATGGGGGGGTTAAGAAATACAGACTCGATGTAATGATATGCACCATAAAATGTCGGGAACAGATGGTGTAAGAGGAAACTTTTGTAATAGTCATAGATCTAGAGACGACGGCCCAGCCACGTGGCTTTCCAAGCGACCACCCCCGACCGAAAAAATTCATGGACGAGCATTCACGACGCGTGTTGCGCATCAAAGGCCAAGGTCTAAGTCTAACTAAACATTACATGCAGTCACCTAAACATCAGTAAAAAACCTTCTCTTCTTAATGATGCACTTCCAGTGATCAATCAAATAACATTTCAGTCCCCCAACCCCCCAACATTTCACTGACCAGTCCTAGTCCTTGATCTATATAGATTTACTGTCTGTGGAAAGTTGGGTGTGAAAACACTTTCCATCACTCTCTTTGCTCAGCGTGAGGGGCAGTCTCACAAAATATCATGCTGTCTAGGCTTATGCAACCTGTACAGATTTCCCTTTGTTCAGCTTAACCTGTGGGCATGTTTCGCGGATCGGAGCGTGCGTTTAGAGGGAGTGAAAGTGCGTTTGTACGTCTAAATTGTGTGGTAAAATACCCGCTAGGTGACAAGAGCGTGCCTTTGAGCGGAGCGTGCTTTTGTATGGCGTGCGTTTAGGTGGAGACCACTGTATCCATCTATAGACAGCAAAAGATCTTGTCAGTGTGTTGTGTTTGAGCGCGTGTAATCCACAGCTTGCACTGTAGGCTTCCCAGGTAGCCAAGAATGTTTCTGAGTGTTCTTGTCTTATAGGTTCTACTGGGGTGATAATAGTCGTAAAATGCATAGAGCATGCTGTAGAGCATGGATATGTGCTATAAATGCACTTATATTATTATTATTATTGTCATTACAAACTTCATAGGACCAAAGAATTTCTTTGTACTAAGCATATAAAGTTATGTTAAGGGAAGTTGCAATGCATATATAAAAGAGGAGAAAAAACAACAACAGGGATTTGAACTCCATTTGAGATAAGAGGAACTTTGTGTTAAATTACTCCTTCTTAAACAAGGTCTACTGTGAGTCTAAATTTAGGAGGTATGAAATATTCACCTTGCTGGCATCTGATAAGATGTAGTCTCCATCATCACAAGGTGTTTCTTCACTGACAGTCTCTTTCTCTTTCTCTGAATTTTTTTCATCGCCGTTGTTATCTTCCACTGACGAAAGGGCTTTTGTCGTTTCAGTGCCATCTACACTTAATGAGGTACCAGTTGTTATTTCATCTTCCAAATCCCCGCCAAGCCTCACTCTCTTCTGCGCATTTTTTGATTCACATAACGTGTCTCCTCCAGTCGCATCAGAGAACAAACGCTTTTTGGTTTTTTCTTTCGCCGGACCCGCTTTGTTACCAGCTTTTTCTTCATTAAACGGTTGACTGGACACAAAATGATCATCGTCACAGCTGCCGTCTTCATCATCCTCTATCACAATCACATCGACGACATTTTCAAGGCGATGTGCGCTCCTGTTTTCCAACTTGTCTTGATTTGTCAAGCTTTTAGAACCGTTTTGACGGAGACTGTCCACTTCATATTCTTGACCTTGACTCTCACTTTTCCCACCTGTAACAAAACACAAAAATAGAATTCAATTCCAACATTAAGAATAGTTACTTTAAAAAGACATGGTCTTTCTCTTTAGTTTTCCTTCTTCTTACTGTAAAAAAGTGAATAGGCAAAATTGCAGACATGGAAAACTATCACCAGCTCATTATTAGAATGGGTGAAACCAATAATCCTAATGCAAAAGGGTAGTTTTCATACCGCTTTGTCACTCTGGCTTTAATTCATACAAAGTTTTGAAAAGCAGTTGAAATATGTGTTTCGGCGCGGTGGAATCAGGCGCTCGTCAATTTTGGGACATATGGAGTTATTTGTACCATCTTAAAGCCTGTCCATTCGCCTTGCATTAGATGTAAAAAATATCCTTTTGTCTTGGATACAAATACAAGTCAAGATATTGGCGACTGAAAGAGATGGGGGGTCACCTGGCTTTTTAGGTAAAATTAGCACAAAAAATGGCAGCCAAAGTTGTGTTATTTCCTTAGCTTGAGAGTCCGTGCAAACTGAAAATTTACATCTTTTATGCCTTTAATCAACGTTTTTCAATAAAAATCCACACAGAAATGTGTTCTTTAAAGGGCATGAAAGGTGTTGAGTCAAAAAACAAAACTTCGATAAAAATTCCCAAACATGCGGAAAAATGCCATCATGACAGGCAGGGTAGGAAGCTCACCTCTAAAATTGTCTAAATTGTGTTAATGGGGACGTAAAAACACCTACAGTATAACACGGATAGCTCAAATTCGTCAGGACCAGCCTCCATAGTTCAAGGGATGTCTTACAAAGATAAAGAAGAAGAAAAAACGGGACCGCAGGCAGTTCGCCAGATGCGTGATTTCGAATCTTCTGTGTTTGACCTATCCATGTTATACTGTATATTTGATTTTAAAATTCAGTTGAAGAGCGGAAAGGGGCGAATGTGAAAGGCTCGAACCAAAACTCACCTGGCTCCATCTGCTTCCCAGGCACAGTTAATGAAGCACAGTACTGAGAGGGCGATTTAAGTCTCTTCAATACATCTGTAAACTGGGACTGGTTGTAAAATTCGTAAGCAACAGAAACTGAGTTCTCCCCTTGACCTTCAGCCCCACAAGACTTCAAATTATCAACAACTTTGGCCTGAAGTTGCCGCATGAGGTATTCCGTCCATGAGCTTTTGGTGCAATGTTCCTTCACTCTTCTCACAAAGTCAGAGAGTGCTGCAGAGGACACTCGCTCTAGGTGCATCAGCAGCAGGAACAGGATCCGTGCTTGAAGACGGGGTGGCAATGTCAGGAAAAGTGGCACCCTGTGCAAAAAAATAATTCTACAAAATGGAATTCACCTGTTACACTCTGAGAGTCAGAATCTCTTAAATTTGCAATGAGTTAGCCAAGAAGGCTACACAAGATTTATTATCTGAACATTTTTAACTCAAAGCTTAGCCTGCTTTTATGAATGGGGCAAACAAAAATACAAACATGTCATGTTCTACTTACAAAACAACTTTCAAACATTACACTTTTCAAAAGAATAAGCCTTGAAAATGTATCTAATTTCAAGGGAATCATCTTCTTAAAGCGGGTCTATTAGTGATTTGGGCACATAGAATGTCCCATCTTCAAATAACATACATTTATATTAAATGTATTTCTTTGTTTTTCTCAGGGTAGAAGAAAAATCTAATTAAGCACATATTACACACACTTCAACTAGTATTTTTTTCTCTCGATTTTTCCAATTATACAGTATATGAGGGGTGGCGTAAATGATCCTTATAAACTTGATCTGGTCAATACATTATTGCTCAAATAGTACTTTATAATGTATACGCACCCGAGGCCAAGTTACTAACAAAAGATGTGAATGGTGGAGTCTGCTAAGTGGAATTGTTGAAACCAAATTTTTGGTCACAATGAACAAAAAAAGTTTGGAACTAACAAATTCACTTAAAGCAAACTCTGCCATTTGCATCTTTTGTTTAGTAAGTAACTTGGGATCGGGTGCATTAATAATAGTACATATATACTGGAACTATGTATTGTTGAGCAGAGCAAGTTTGTGGGGATCAGAAAAACATTCCTCCTCCTCCTCTGATAAGATACAATATGAGTCATGAAAACTATACTTAAAACAAAAACAAAAGAAAAAAGTTTGTGCAGGGAGACAAATAAAGAAAAAAGATTAGTAACATACGGCTGACAACAAACATTATAGGCCTACAGATGGACTATAATGTAATGGTGTACATAAAATTTGCAATTAGAAGTTGTCATAGATGTCTAGAATTGATCCAGAAGTTTCAATTTGAAGAACCAAAAAAAGTGCAGATTGTGAGTAAATACTGACACTTACACTTTGAGTTCACCAGCTTCTGATGTTGCTGTATTCTCTACAAATGACCTGAGAAGCTGTTCCCATGAATCCCCCTCACCACAGCCATCTGAAATGTGTTAAAATAGACATCATGTGTTTTTATGTCATTTGGCATAAATAGGCCTACCATTTTAAAAAAATCTATGTTTCTTTTTTTATGTACATCTGATAAATAAACAAAGCCAGTGCATTAAGCATTACAAATAAAATAATTAAAGTAATTAAAATCTGCAGAAATAACCTAACAAACTACTGAAAAAATTTGAAACTCAGTGTTGAATTTAAAGAGATCCAAAGAATGGACCCAGAAACATGTAAGAGTTATTTAAAATTTCCAGTCAGCTGCCTATTCAAGCTTGTCCAGCTGAATAGAAAAATTTAACACCTTGGCGCATACAGCATAATAATAATAGTATAAATTACATCACCTTCCCCAGGTTTATTTGACAAAGTCAGTTTCACACAAACATGTGTCTTTCAAAGCACAAAATGCACAATGTCTACTCTTTTCAGATTTAGAGCCACCAAGTCAAGGGATCTTTAACATGATGCAAAACTTCCACTTGAGACCTCTCTAAAAATGTTGTATCCTAATAATATTAACCACAAAGACAAGGTTCTCACTCCTGTTGAGCCACTAACCCCCTCCCCCCCCCCCAAATTACAATGTCAGTTTACTTTTTTATTTCATTCTTATTTATATTATACAGTACTTCAGCGAGTGTGAGGCTTTGACTATTCACTATTACACTAGTAGTGTAAGACAAAGTATGGGGCATACACTATGATACAGACCCCCTCTGAAACTGAAAATGCCACAGAAAGCAGAAAAGTTGAAGATCATAGTAATTTGTAGCAGAACTACCAGCAGATGTCACCGATAGCAAGAGAAAAAATAATAGTTATTCACATTGCACTCACCTCGAAGCATTCTGTCTGCCTGGAAAGGAAAAACGCCACAGGATGACAATTGTCTCAAACACTGAACCCATTGTTTTGAAAACTTCCCATTCAAAACTTGGAGCCAAGAATCATTTGCCATTACTACTTGTTGTTAAGTAAATCTGAAAATGCAGAAAGAGAAAGATTTTGAGTAGCCACAATTTTCAAAGTCTCTTTGATAGACCTAGGCCTTAAAATTAAGTATTTATTCAGACTAAACCAAAGTTTAGTAAAAGTGTAAGATAATGCAAGATAATCGCAATGGCTACGCTCACGGCGCCCTGAAGGCAGTTAGCAGGCGCTGTTGAGGCTACGTTCACGGCACTAAAGCTTCGTTTAGGGGGAGCATCCACTGCCATTTTAAGTCAGCCGGTTTTAGGGACGACAGTGACGTATATTTAATATTTTGGCCAGCTTCAAGTGTCCCACCCCATCTGATGAAGGAAAACGAAGCGTCCTTACAAAATTAAAGTCGGGATATATGGAAAATTGGATAAGGTACATGGAAACAAGAGGTGAGAGATGGGAAACAGAAGGTGGGATTCGGAAGATGGGACTGGTCATAAAATGTGTACAATAATGACTGTATTGCACCGGGTCAGCATGGGAACAGACGCAGAGAGAAAATGAAGGGAATCAATTATTCTTATTATAAACAAACACCCTCTCTCTCTCTTTCTGTCTGTCTGTCTCTCTCTCTCTTTCTCTCTCCCCCCCCCCCTCTATTTTTCTGTCTGTTTCTCCCTCCTTCTTTCTCTCCCCCCCCCCCCCCCCACCTTCTCTCTCTCTCTTTCTCTCACACACATACACCTTTCCCCACGGACGGAAATTTGCAAATTGCAACCCTAAAATTTGCCAAAATTTGAATTCAGAATCCATGCAGACAATTGCTGTTTACTCCATGAAACAGACATACTGAAAAAGACAGGCATTTTTAAATTTTTTTTGGGAGGGGGGGGGGGGTAAATTCAAATTTTTTTCTTTAAAGAATATTAAAAAGATATAACGGATAACGTCATCTTTACACATCATGTATAGCTCATCAAGAAACATGATATTGGCTGGGTAGAAATTTCTAGAGTACACTGTTTCTAGGCTGGTCTACCATCCCCTTCCTCGGTTTATTTCAAAGCCTTTGCGTGCTTCTCCTTTTTCATGTCAATGTGGATTTCCAAGATTTTCTTGCAAGTGTTACAAAACAGCTTGCCCCCACTTACGTGCGTTCACCTAGTGAACTCGGCATGCCGTTGGTGTGCTGTTACATGTTGACCAGATTTTCACTTTAGAAATTTGTTCATTGTCATTGCAGTCACACTTCAGCGATCACGTCAGAAGGAGAATTACGAAAGACAAGACGCTGCGGTTGCTATGGTAAACACTGCAACAGTGTACCAGTGTCATATGGGTAAAAAATAGCATTTTATACTAGTAGAATTAGAATAGAGATCTAAACTGCGAATGAAGTTCAGAACGAAGGGAAACAAATGTGGCAGACTTGCAAGTACCTGATGTGAAATTTGAGTTCGAGAACGGCTCACAAGAAGGAAAATATTTCCTGAAAAATATGTTTTTTGTAAAATTTGTGGCCTCGGGACAACAAATTTGCATTTGCGCGGCTGCGAATAACCGCGAAGACAGACACATACACTGCCCGCAGACAAAATTGCACGCTTTCAACTTGAGAGCGCTGGAACGTTTGTTTACACTCGTATCACGGCCCGTCACGCGCTAACACAAAGTCGCGCCTGCCTAAGTCTCGCCCAGACGCGAGATAGGGCAATTGAAACATCTTGGAAGGCGTGTATACATTTTTGTCATTGATCTATATCCCCATGTGTTGTTGCATAATTGAGAGTTCGTCGTTTTCACTTACACTAGGGAGCTCTGAGCCAGAGCTCAGTGTATGGCAAGGGAAAACGACGAATGCTCGATCGGTCAAGGATCACTGTGCTGCTTCGTTTTCCTTCATCTCATGGGATGGAACGCTTGAAGTTGAAGCAGGCCAAAATATTAAAATATAGATCTATATATCTGTATAATTATATACGTCACTGTCGTCACTGATTAAAACCGGCTTACTTAAACCAGCAGTGAACGCTCCGTCTAAACGAAAGATCTACTTCGTCCGACAGCTCTATGGTCCGACGCCAGCCAAGTAGCAGTAGCCAAGAGTCACTTCTTCCTTCTTCCTACTTTCGTTTTTTACTCTTCATACTTTCTTCATCCCCAGATTTTATAGTACTAAACAGGCAAACCTCAAACCGTCAATGATGACACCATGCCAACACTGTCGTTCGTCATCTATTTCCTTTGAGGGCATAATTTATTTTTTCACATTTACTCCTCATTCAGGAAGAAGACTAAACTCGAATCTGTATGGATTTTCAAACGTAAAATGAAAAGCAAAGAAGGAACCCAAAAAATCGAGCTACATCTGGGAAACGATGTAAAAAGTCAAAACCTGAATCGGGAAACCACGATCAACAATTCCCGCGAGTTGAACAGTTGCAGCTTCTGATTGGTGCGCTTGTTTTTTATTGTCCCCGTGGTTTTATGCAAAAAAATGTATGAAATTATGCAAACTGAGCCCAAAAATATGAAATTATGCGATTCTGTTGATTCTAATAAAGAATGATTAAGGAAAATAATCAGAAATTGGGCCCCAAAAAAATCAAATTTTTGAAAAATTATGCGGGGTGCATAAAAGTCTGTAGATTCTCTGACGTTTATCCTAGAAAGCTCTCTATAACTATAATAGGCTATAGGGGCCTCGCTAATAAAAACACTTAGATATTTTGTGGCCACAAACCTGGAAATCTACTCAACGAGAAGGAGAAGAAAGCTGGCAAGTGACAACGCTTTGGCAGTGCAGTGCAAGCATTATGATGTGCAAGTCCAGGCCCTATTATTTTGATCTCAAGTCCGAGCGAGTAATTATGAAATAGCCTACTGGAGTCAGTAAACTGTCGAGTACACGAGTACTCGGATCTTGAACACAGGCTCAGCGTGCGTTATTTGTTGATGCCAAAACTTCAGTTTATCCTTTAACCTACAGGGTAATTTAAAAAATGGTGAACCGATTTCAATATGCAATATGTTAATAGGGAAAAGCAATAGAAAAGCCGAGCTAAGTCACAACGTTTTTGTTGTCACAATCGACTTTTATTTCTTGTCTTACAAGTGTGCTCTGTGGACACTACCGACAGCACGGGCAACATCACTACAATAAGAGAATTCGTACCCAGACGCATTTCAGCATATCATAGTTCACTGAGTTTATTGCTATTGTTATTCCGTTTCAAAGTCATCGAGTTCATTGGGTAGATGTGAAACATACATGTTCTTTTACGTATCCTGACCACAAAAAAAAAATCACACAAGGTAAGGTCTGGGATCTAGCAGGCCAAACACAGAACTATAATGTCTTGGACCCCTTTCGGACCAATCCATCGCTGGCGCACTTTTTTATTTAACCATATCAGTACGTTGTGTTTTACTATCATATCCATACGACGTCACGTGGGGAACGCCACCACTTTCCATTGTTCCAAAAAGGAAATTTACTCGTTAATCCGATCCGTACGCTTGGCATAACAGTAGCAGTCTGTCAAAATGATTTTTGGAGAAATATGGAAAGTTTCAAAGAGATCTCCATACTAGAAGTATTCTAAAATGTGAAGAATACAACACCGGCAGTACAAAATGACCCCAGGGCGTACGGATAAGGTTAAAAAAGCTCGAACCATCAGGTGGCAATGGGGCAGTGCTCCTTTGTTTTTGAAAAATGAAGTCATGCATCTCTGCTTGCAATGATGGGAAGGGCCAGTTTTGGAGCATATCGAGAAAGGTCTGTCCTGTAACAGTACTTCTTAACAAAGGAAGAACCACGCATCAACACCAACATAATTATCGTGACAGTTATTCAAAAGTTAGATAACTCCTCTTTCTAAGAATGGTCACTGATTTGAATACTTGTAGTGTGCATAAAAAAAGGAGGGGGGAAATGGAGCAACAAACAAAAACGATGAAAAGTTTGTTCCCTGCTGGGTGAAAGTGAAAGAGAGTAAGTAGGCCTACTCGAGTATTTACCTGAATATTCGGAGGTTTTGGACTCGAGTGAGTAGTTCGAGTACTCGAATGGACTCCGGTACTTGCACACCCATAGGCCTAGCCGAGCAGCCAAAAAAAGCCACTGCTGTAGCCACTAGCCAGACAGGCAATAAGCTAATATAATAATTTTCTCCACTTATTCTTTTTAATGTTGGTGTTTTCACATCTCCGTGCACACAATTAGATCTAATATTATTTAGAGAGATCTAGGAGGCAGGCCTGTCACGGCACCAAGGCTGAGAGGAATCGACCACCGATCCCTGCTTTTATCATCAAAACCAGATACAATATTTAAAAATTCTCCCCTCATGAGAATCTAAAATCTAACTTGAGTCTTCTGCGATCTCGAGCGACTCTGGAACGCCGTCCACTACACAACAGACGCCAAGTACCCTCTCTCACCCTGTGTATAATATCCGCTAAAGATACATTAAAGTGTAGGCTATGTGTCGTAGGGCCAACAGTCGCGCATGTTTACCGCTAGAAGCGAACATAATTTTAGAGAGAACGGAAGCAAAAGTAAAATTTATAATCACCTTTGAACATTTGTGCCCTGCATTCAAAACTGTTTCATTGTCACATACATTGTTCATTCTTTTTGGGCCACTCCCATTAAGGGGCTGTTCAAACACAATCTTACACCTTTTAGGTACTTTTTGCCCCCCCCCCCCTTTCCCTTTACCCTCAAACACTTTTCTTAAATTTACTTCTTCTCTTCTCCCCCCTCCCCCCTTCCCCAAATGCCGTAATATTACATTGTTCGCTTATAGTAATAATAATATAATAATATGGCATTTAAATCAGTGTTTCAATCTTTGTTATTGTTCTATGCGCTTTATATATATATATATATATATATATATATATATATATATATATATATATATATATATATATATATATATATATATATATACATGTATATATATATATATAATATTCATGAAAAACATGCATACACACATACATGCACATAACAATAATCATATATGCACTTCTACATTCACACAAAAAATAACAAAGTAAATCATTCAAGCAAAATATTGCTTACACTCTTTCTCTTTCTTACTAATAAGGAAAAATTTGAGACACATATCAATATCAAAAATTTCTTTAATCACTAATAAAACAAATTACAATGGAATTCTGATAAAGGCATAACCTCGGGACCGAAAAAAGTGTAATATTCCATTGATTCAAGACCCCCCCCCCCTTTCTTACACTTTTCTTGCAGGAGCCAAAGACTCCCCCCCCCCTCCCCGGCCCCCCTTTCCAAGCGTAAGATTATACAGTAATGTTTGAACGTCCCCTTAGCAGCCACAAACACTGATTATGTTCGCTGGTAGAGTCTACCCCAAAAAGGAAAAAAAGCACGTGAGCACATCACTCAAAACTGTATTATTCCCACCCTGCTCACCTCTTTCGGACCACTTCTCATTAGCCGTCAGCACAACCTCAGATTATGTAGGTGTACAATTAGACTGGTAGAGTCTACCTAAAAAAAAGACGAGTGGAACTAATTTCAAATAATCATGGCTGCTTTAAGTTTTTTTTGGTTTTTTTTTCCCCTCGACCTTTTTGCTGCCCTGTTATGACGCGCACTCCAGGCCCAGGTCACTAAAGGCTAGATAAAGAAAACAGCCAAATTTGTAATTTTTAAAAAAAGGGAAAAAAAAGAAGATTATTACATTTTGTATCATGTATTATGACCAGTTTCTTTGGGTTTTTTAAATTGTTTATTCACATCGTTAGTTAAATTAAGTGTTACAAAATCTAACTGAGGTAATTATTCCCACAGTACGTTTAAAAGTTATGATTACGTTTTGCCCAAAATAGGAATAAATATTTAATTAGATATTTCCCCCGCCCTTATTTTGGTGATTGAACATACAATAAGAATTCAGGATTTGTTTTCTTTCACAACTGAGTGACGCCGCCTCGAATGTTTTGTTTATTATGTAATTCCTGATGTGGGGAAATTATTTATGTGTGACCTCTGTCTGATTCTCTGTCTCACTTTGATTACCCTATCAAACAAGCCAGCCTTCACCCCTGCTCTGCCGGGCCCGGTGTCTGCCTAAGCGACTGGCCTTGCTGGTTGCTGTTAGGCGAATATATCTCAAAGGGTGGGTGGGTG